CGCAACAGTATTAAAGGCTTTCAGATACAAGAAATTGTTTCAACCAAATCATTATAAATAAAAGTAATTGTAATAAATGTATTAAAAATTTATTTAAAAGATTGGTCATATAATTGATAGATAAGAACCTCAAACACTTGACACGATAAAGTTAGAAACACTTTGAAACACTTTTCCCTTATCCCCTAACCAAAATTCTAAATTATCATCATCTAAATTTGTTCTTCCACAGTTTTATACATTACCTAAAATACATAACGAAAATATCAGCCAAATTGTTTCTGGTATTAATTCATCATTACACCTCGTTCCCATATTCATAATTGATATTTTTTTTCTTATACTCACAAAACAAACACCACATTAAAGATTCAACACACCTTGTTAATCAAATCCGTTCTTTAAAATAACGTTTTGTTTTTTTAGATTTCGTACACTTATTCGCTTTAGTAGCTGTTAAATATAAGTGAAGTCATTAGTCGTTTTGAAGACAGGCTAATTCAAAATAACATTTCTCCGCATGAATTTCAAGCAAGTAAATTATATTCTCAAATTCAAGGATGGCCTATGGACCTCCACTTTCCCGCTAATTTGGCACATTTTCATGGATTATATTCAAACGATTGTCACTTAAAAGAAAACATTTGGTTGAGATTTGTGAAAAATCGGTTTGCAACGTGGAGTTACGGTGACGTTAAGGTAAAAGATTTTTTTACATCAAGTACACAATTTACATGATAACGTTAGATTTACAGCTGGAAATGACATATTTAGATATTTTGGCAAATATAAACTCTTTAGCAGCCACCGTGTACCTCCATATAACAAAGTGTGAATGCAATAGTGTCTGTATCGTAAACTATAATGTTATGTGAATTAACACAAACTTCCTTTAAAACATTAGGATTAGATTTTATCACGTGGTATTAGCTATGACCATCATATCCTCCAACGAGATGACTGTTTGTTTTGGACCAAAGCCACATAGGGGAGGAGGAGGGGCTATGGGATGAGACCGAATTAATTAGTTTCTTGAACAATTATACAAAACTGAATGCAAGAGTCGCTAGCTATAATTAAACAAGGATTTTTCTTTAAATATAAAGACGAAAGTCCAGGAATTTTATTCCTCTAATTGTACTGAAAGTAACATTGTATAAAAAAGTATATATTCATTAATAATATATTTTGTATGTTGTTTTATATTTTTCTTGAATATTTGTCTTATATGCATGCGTGTGCGTGTGTTGTTACAGCAAAAGCAAAGCCACATCAGGCTATCTGCAGAATTCACCGAGAGGAATCGAGCCCCTGATTTTAACTGTGTAAACCCGAAGATTTACCTATGTCCCACCAGGAGACTTACCTTATGCATAGTATATATATATATATATATATACACCGTTGTCGCGCCTATTTTATTTCTGCCCGATGATGGCCGAAACATGAAGAGAAATAATGAATAATTGCGGTTTAGTTGGTATATTACTTTGGATAAGCGAACACGTTAATAATTAAAGGTTGGTTAGTAGTAAGCGAAATATAAATCCAGAGTTGAAAATGTAAAAAAATATCTTTGTACTAAAACGTACTTGCATAATGAAGCGTAGTCCCTGTTAGTCACATTTGACATCAGTTGAATCTGAAAATTTGTTGGACTACCATCGTGCATGTAACATCGCTGCATCTTTTGGTTCATCGAAAATAACTCTTGAGTGGTACATTTTCCAATTAGTTGCAAGTTGTTGGTAGGAAGGCTCTCTGATAAGAAAATAAGAAATTTATTTAAAAGGCATTCCAACGTAAAAAGAAAAAAAAAATCTGAAAATTATTCAACATTAATGAAAATACTTTTAAGTTACTGGAAATTAATTTGAAACAATGAAAAATGACACCAAACAAAATTCATGAACTTTGTTTGTTTATTTACTTTAGAGTAAAGCTACATCGGGCTAACCACTGTGGAGAATCGAAACCAAGACTTTAGCATCGTAGGTGCGTAAACCGCCTCCCCCCGAGAGATGGTTCCAGCAGGACAAGCAGACACATATAGAAATATATATTAAACGTATTCAGAGTTTTTCAGATAGATTTTTGAGTTTTGCCATATTCTGTCCTAATCAGTTGAGTGTTGAGGTATTCCGCTCCCGATAGGCTAACAGTTTATTAAAACGTCGGCAGAGTCTTTCCTCCACATTTCTATACATGATAACTGAAAACAATCTATATCCTATACTGTGTTTATGCCATATTATTACAGTATTGGAATCGTAGAAATAAAACTATATGTAACGTGTTTCAATAGTATTTAGGAGAGTATAGATAGAGCAGAGTTTTTAATTTTACTGTTAACGAACTGTTCCTGTAGGCTATAGTAGGACCACCCTTCCGCTTCTATACTATTACTAAGGCCCTTTTTTTTGGCAGGTCGAAAAAAAAGACTTTATATAGAACCCGAAACGTGTCCTATTCTAGAAGCAGAAACAGCCAGAGGCAGTCTATTGACGTCAAGTTCCCCTAAAAGTTTTAAATATACAGAGTCTTAATACTCATTAATCCTACGACTACGACTCTAGAACGAGTGAAAAAAAGGTTTACGAGTGGGTGAATTTTCTATGATAGAGTGCATGCAACATAACGTAAATTGTACTGAATCCAGAACAGTGAATAACATAGTATGCATATATATATATATAGATTTATCTTACCCGAGAGTAAGGCAACTGTTAAGAAAATAAACAGTATAGCTGACGAATTCATCTTTTAGTTATAAGTAGGTACCACGAGTAATCACGATCCGTCCGTCACACTTCTTTGTGAAAGTGAAACAAAGCTCACACTTGTGGCATATAAATATGATGATTGAAACGGGAAGGACGTTGATTGGCTACTAGTGAAACGTCACACGGAGTGAATGTTGCACAACAGACAGGTTATGTGGCGTCATTTCTAAACATTGTGGGGTCGGAAGTATAATTTGTGGAAAAATCCCAAAATACTAAAAAAAAAAAAGTAGTTCTGTGTTCTCGAACATCGACAAACAATAAATAAATCTACAATGTGTTAGAAATGACAGAGCACTACATACTGAATGGAGTTATAAATATATGTGTATACAGACGGTGAGGTATAGGCGCGTAAGTTTCTAACAATAGCATCAGATTCATTCGAAGTTTAATGATGAATAGTAGAGCGACGGCAGCAACAATGAACATTTGACACCTGTATATGTACACTAACAAACACTTAATTCTTGAACGTTTCGGAATATACATATTCTATCTTCAGCAAGTTATATTGAACAAGGTAAATTATTACAAACGTTTAAACTATTTATAACAAATAATTAAAATACAGAATAATAGGATGAAGTAAATTAACCCACAACCAAATAAACAATAGGATAATGCAACAATTATAACAATATTATACAAGTGTTCAGAATAGTCTTAACTCTAGTGAAGCTGTATTATTATTTAAAGTTTACATATATACTCCATAAATACGTCTCTCAGTATTGGATATATATATACGTATATGTGTGTGTGTGTATTTCACATTAACACAGAAATATTCAGTACATCGAGTAACCAGATGATGTGTTGATTTCTTTGATTTTGGATCAGTCGATAAGCACAAAAGTACACAATGGGCTATCTATGCTCTGTCTAACTCAGGTACTGAAACCCAGTTTTTAGTATCGTAGGCCTGCTGAATTAACGCTGATCCACTGGTGGGTACGTTATGTTGAGAGAATAAAATTATGAAGCAAATACACGTCTGTTACGAAAGGATTCAGCTGGGTGGAATGTTGAATAATATTGAATAACTTCAGAACGAATTGTAAAGTTATAATAAAAAAAAAAGAGTGAATCCTCAGTAGCCGCGAAATTTGAAATTCTTTTAGGTAGGATTAGAGTAAGTTAATCTAGGAGTCTCCCCCCCCCCTTTTCTTAGCTATTGTTACATATATGCTTGTTTGTTAATTTCCGGTAGAAATTCTTTCAGAGGAACTTCAGCGATACAAGTCCTTTCTTGATTAAACCAGTTTATTCTTTCTGGATACAAACTTCTAGTACACAGTAATTCCACAGTCAGTACGTTTCTCGTCACTTTAAACTTAACAACTTTTATAATACACGCTATAAAACACAACGATTTACAATCTCGATAACTTTGCTCTCTACGAGTGCAAAACACACACTCGCTCGAAACAGAATCGTATATTACCCGAAACTCACCTAACTACTGTTCGTTTTATCATCCCCTGGAATGTCTCTGCCAGGCTTATATACTAACGAAGAGGCATCTCCAAAATTCGCGGAGTTCTCCGATAATTCGAGAAATTCGGCCACGCATGCTCTAGCAGCGTCACGTGACTTCCGCTTTCTAACTCTATATTTTTGTTTGCCTGCAATACCAAGCGTGGGGGCGCGGTTATACCCGATTCGATTTTATTACTCATCAGGAACTTTACCAGTCTACCCTCAAATTAAAATTCTTTTTAGGCAGAATTAGAGTAAATTAACCTGTGAGACCTTGGGCGTGGTCAAATATATCAATCGAAAGGGTTTGACCTCCTGAGTCCAAATTGTAATCATATCTCAAATCGGCCAAGAGATAACAGAACTATGAGCAAAAAGTTTATACTCGAAAACCAAACTCATTGTTATTCTATATGCTGCTCTGCCGTGACTAAAAAAGGGTGGCTGTCCTATAGGACCTCAGCAATTACAAGATTCAAGGGCAGCTCGCTGGTTATTTTGATAATGAAATAACTCAGCTGATAAGTACCTAGCTTTAAACTTAGTACTCTTAACACATATACGGCTAAACAGTGATAAATTTCAAATTAGAAAAAAAGTCATAATAATAATAACTGAAAAGACGAAACACTGACCATACATATTGATATTTTTTTACGTTAAAACTATTTTAACTTTTTCTTGGCATCTTCAGATGTTATCCCTTCCTAACTTTTCTTGTCGTGAGTATGAGGAAGGTCTAGTTTTCAGAGTGTTTAGCATATTTACATATCTATTAGCATTTCTCAAACTATGTTCCGCGAAACCCTGGTGTTCCGTCCGAGATTGATAGGTGCTCCGTGAGAAAATCATGATTTTAAATTTTAATAAAATATTTAACACTTTTTGTACGATCATAACTTATTATGAAATATTTTCCTATGTATTAGAATTAGATAATATCGATTTCGCATTGAAAAATAATTATAGAAGATGCCATACCTATTCTATTAAGTCGTCAAGAAATTAATATCTCGTTTTAGAATGCTTTCATTAACCCGCCCCCCCCCCAAAAAAAAAACAACCAAAAAAACGTACATCACGTATAATAGTTAATAATAGCATGGCCAGGTGGTTAGGGCGCTCGATTAGCAATCTGAGCGTCGCGGGTTCGAATACCCGTCACACCAAACATGCTCGCCCCCTTTCAGCCGTGGGGGCGTTATAATGTGACGGTCAATCCCACAATTTGTTGGTAAAATAGTAGCACAAGAGTTGACTGTGGGTGGTGATGACTAGCTGCCTTCCCCCTAGTCTTAACTGCTAAATTAGGGATGCTAAGATCTAGTTCTACTAGTTGAGATCAATTAAATTGGGTCGACATGTTGGAATTGATATTGATGCTCTGAAGACTCTTGTTGAGTCTAACCCAATTTGCCCTGAAATTTCATGTCTCTCATGAAACAATACGTAAAAAAGAAGAAGGTGTTTGGGTGCGTCACGAACTCTCCCATGACCATCGTGTCCAATGTGTGAACGTTGCTTCGTCTCATCATTTTTGGACAGAATTGTCACAGGTGATGAAAAATGGATTCTATGCGAATATTAAACGCCAAAAACAATGGCTAGACAAAACCATTTCCGACCCCCTAAACCTGGACTCCATCCACAAAAAGTGATGCTTTGCATTTGTTGGGACATCAAAGGAGTAATCCACTTAGAACTCCTCAATCCACAGCGAACTGGCAATGCAGAGATCTATAGTCGGCAACTGGAACGTTTAAATCAAGCCCTTCATGAGAAACCCCCTTCACTCGTCAAGATGAAAGGTGGTGTTCTCTCTACGACAATGTACGTCCACATGTGGCACGTTTGACGCAACACAAGATTATGGGATTGGGTTAGAAAATTCTCCGCCATCCACCATATTCTCCAGATATGGCACCATCAGATTACCGTCTTTTTCGTTCGCTGCAACACCATCTTAATGGGAAAATGTATGCAAATGTGGAAGGTATAAAAGAGGACATCGACATGTTTTTTGCTTCAAAGCCAAGTGATTTCTTTAATCAGGGCATTAACAACCTGATTGTAAGATGAGTATGGAGACTATTTCATTTAATAAATGTCTTGTTTTGATATACAAGTTGTTCGGTTTTTTTATCTAAAAAAGCGACATTAATTTCTTGACGACCTAATACATAATATCTTAGTGGAGAAGTTTGTACCTTAAATATATTACAAGCATAAAAATGTAAAAATTCATTAATATGTAATTTGATTAAATGAATAATATACAAATCTAGAGAGCTCTGCGCACTCAACATACCCTCTACACCGATATTTCACGTGTCTAGTGTTCCCTAAGGTTTTTCTCGGCTGAAAAGTGTTCCGTGGCCAAAAAAGTTTGGAAAACGCTGCTCTAGAGAATCTGTGTTTGGAGATGCAAGAAGACACAAGCAATCTTACAAGTGTTTCCACGACATGTCGAGAGCTGCATGCCATGAATTTTCACGGAAGAGATGCAGCCCACAAGCCGTTTATAACAAAAACTAATACACACTGTCCATTGGCATGGGGTAAGGCATACTGGATCGTGGATCAATGCAAATCTGTCCTGTGGAGCGACGAGCCACGCTACACGTTCTTCCAGTTTGATGGATGTGTTTGGGTATGGAGGATACTTGGAGAATTCTCATTATCTGAGTGTTCTGTCCCAATAATGAAGTTTGGAGGTAGTGATAATGTGATCTAAGGGTGCTTCTCGTGTGTGGACTATGTCCACTGGTTGCAGTGCATGGATCCATGAATGCTGAGTCCTACATTGATTTTCTGAACAATTCTATGTATCTTACATTATGGCAGTTTTATGGTACCGGCCCTTACACCTTCCAACATGATAACTCTCCATGTCACAAAGCAAGGATTGTGAATGCGTGGTTTGAAGAGAATAACATCCGAACATTGCAATGGCCAAAACAGAGCCCCGACCTCAAACCGATAGAACATCTTTGGGATGAACTGGAACGCACAATTAGGGCAAGACGAAAACGGCCCTCTTCAGTAGTGGAGATTACTAATATTTTAAAGAAGGGGTGGAGTACAATACCACCAGCTTTCTACCAGAAACTAGCAGATCGTCTTCCACGACGCATTGAAGCAGTAATTAAGGCCAAAGGCGGGCCAACACGGTATTAATTTCTTGAAATAAAGACATGTTTTATTCACAACTACCCGTGTCTCGTTACTTTTGGTAGGATAGAGTATTAGCGTTGTGTTCACCACGGACAATCGAATTTTTAGTGTTCTAAGCAATAACAGGCTTACTGTTCAGCTCGAAATTCATGCTTTAAGTCATTGATCACTAAAGCTTCGAGTTGTGGTCTTTTACATTAAATAATATGTTAATATATACAACAAATAGATACTCTATATAAATGTATATTATACACTTTTATCCATCCTTCCCTCTATTTATATATCTGTCGGTCTGTCCATCTACCCACTTATTAAATCAAATACAGAAAAGTTAGCGAAATAAGCTTTTATGTTATAAAGTTTTAGTTCTTGTATCTCGTACGATATTTATTGCAATTTTCAACGTCTTTGCTTATAACTAAAA